ATAAAAAAGAGTTTGAAATGAGAGTAATCGAATGAGTAACATCCACACGAAGAAAAACAATCTAGTAACGTACAGTATGGGTTTTGGTAAAAAAACATGTGACATTTGGACATTTTTGGTAAAAAAACAACAACATACTTTTGGTAATAAAAAGCAACATATACAGTGTTTAAATCATTTATCTGATAATTTTTCTGTTCATATGGTAACGGTTTACCGGAAATTCTGGTTTGCACAATTACAGTTCTCATAACAAAATATTAAGTAAAAAATACACAAATGAAAAGTAAATTTCACCATATATATCTGAATAAGTGATTCAGTGTATTAAAATATCAAAAAATTGAATCATACATTTGGGAATNTATATATATAACGCATTGAAATAAAGCCATAATTAGTACATGAATGCCACGTTATTTAGTTTCTAATTTATGCTCCTAAATTATTTAAATTAGATTCAGTAATGATTTTTTAAGTAGGAAAATAATAGTTAACGCAAATTAGCAAAGCGTAGTTAACATAATTAATATGTAATTTGAACTAAGTCTTAATAAATTAATATAGTTTTACTTTAAATGTAAGCAATATTTTAACCAAAATTGACGGGCCCTTTTGTATGTAATTAATAAAATCATAAAAAATTACCTTTCCAAAATTCATGAACTAAATATATCCAAACAAATTTTAAATTCAGAGTTCATTTCGAGATGAAAAAGTTCGCTAAAATTCACGGTTAGAATAAACTTAAAGCATAATATCTTTATCAAGATATATTCATAAAGTAAATTGTATGATCATCACTAGATTATAATAAAATTTAATAACATTAATAAAAGAATATATAGTTTTTATGGTCATCGCATAAAAGCTGCTTTGACATTTATTTTGATCAATAAATTTTGACTAATGACTTACTCGTAATAAAGGAATAAATCATAGGTAAGATCAAAGGAAGAAGGCATAAGTATTGATTACCGTCCTTTAAAATAAGTAAGTGATGCTTAAAGGACTTAGAAATGATTTCTATTTAAAGTTTTAATAAAAATTATTAATATATTATATGAAATAAAATAGAAAAAGTAATAAAATGTTGTAATTTAAATGACGAAAGTAGAAGCGGTTGTTTTATTTATAATTAGGCTACAAATATTGCTTATTTAATATTTTTATACTTTAACATCATGCCTACATGTAATACATTAATACTTTAATATTGTGAATATAGTGTTACGATTCTTAAAATCAACTTATTATTATTTTTTATTTTATTATTTTGTTTTGTTGTTGTTGTAGTTAATTTACGTCGCACTAGAGCTGCACAATGGGCTATTGGCGACTGTCTGGGAAACATCCCTAAGGATGATCCGAAGACAAGCCATCAATCACAATTTCGATCCTCTGCAGAGGGGATGGCACCCGCGCTTCGGTAGCCCATCGACCTGCACGCGAAGTCGAGCACTTTACGGTAGAACAGTTTAACGAGGACCAATACCGCACACCCTCGGTCCCTACACAGACTGATCCAAGTGGTCACCCACCCGCACACTGATCGCAGACAGTGATGCTCGACTTCGGTGATCTGCTGGGAACCGTGTCTTATCGATCAGTCCACTGCGGGACCATTTTATTTTTGTTTAGAAATCAACCATCGATTATTATTTCGCTTTATCGAATCGATTATTATAACGATTGAAGTCGATTGTTATTTCGTTCTGAAATCAATTTGACTATACTTCTTTTCTCAGTTTTTTTTTTCACAATCTTTACAGGGAAAACATNTTTCTTTTTTGTTTTGAAAACAACCATCGATTATTATTTCGCTTTATCGAATCGATTATTATAACGATTGAAGTCGATTGTTATTTCGTTTTGAAATCAATTTGACTATACTTCTTTTCTCAGTTTTTTTTTCACAATCTTTACAGGGAAAACATTAATTAATGTTATAAGTGTTTAAAGATTTTATATTTCAAGCTCTGGGACAATTAATTGCAAATTATCACAGCTTTAAAATACTTATCAAGTTTTAACTATTAAAATTAATTCTAGCTATTTTAATATTTGTGACTAGATATTTTTACAAATTTAAACTAATAATAGCGCTCAGTTTGTTATGCGCTATTATAAATTTAAATTTGTATAAATATCATTTTACAAATTTAAATTAATAGCGTTCAGTTTGTAGAGGGCAATTCAAATTTTACATTTTCGAATCTGTCAGATACTCTAATACCCATGATAAATTGACATTATATTGATTTTTCAAAATATTAAATTAAAATACATTTAAGTTCACAACTATTAATGACACAACAAAACAGCTCAGCATTCCCGCAATATCGCGCGTAATATAATAGAAAGCCATTGTTCAGAGACAGCATGATATTTATATATCTTCGTAGTATTCCATAGGGATTCCATAACATTGATTCACAAGTCCCACGCCAGATAATATGTGATCATATCAGCGTGACAGTATCAACTTAATATCCTGTTACTTAGCATGATATTTACCGTTGGATAAACAATGATATGTTTTCAACAAATATTCTTATGTGTTCTTGTTAACGTACTACGGTGATATTATAATTTTTGTATTACTATTCACATTTCCATGCAATCGAATAATCAACTTGAATGTCAAAAAATTCAAAATAAAGATTTTTATATGATAAGGTACAGTATGCCAAGAAAATGGACTATCCTGTATAACTTTTGATCTAATGATCGGATCTTCACGTTCAAAGACTCATTCGTATTGGTTCGAGTGGGTAACCTCAAATATTCTAAATAAATAGTGCAGACGATATTTTATGCTACAAAATAAAAAAAACGTACTTTTTCTGAATAAACATACTTTTTTTTGGACGAATACGGATTTATGGTCCTTAAAATATAGGGGGTAGCTTCAATCTTGGAAATATGATCCCCATAGTTTGGCCGGGAGAGTGGTTCAAAGTTTGGACTCTTTAATGTAAATTTTACTCTCTCTGTATTTTGCCACATATCAGGAACTTTATAAGCGAATTGAAAATTTTTTTCATTCAGTTATAAAATTCGTTTATCCAAAGATAATTCCATGCAAATAATAAATTTCAGTAAATATTTATAATTTTTATGGTAGTGAAAAGATTTTGAACTGTTAAGTACACAATTTTGTGTATCATCTAGAAGTATTTAATTTTTTGAGGTAAAAATCCAAAACTTGAACGAAATCGATTGAATAGTTCATGAAAAATTGAATTTTAAATATACGACTTTTTTTAAAATTTGGTTTCTCAAAAACTATTCGACCGATTTCGTTCAAGTTTTGAATTTTACCATAATTATTTACATACTTTAAAAAATGATGTAACAATGTGTGTAACTTACTATTCAAAATTTTTCGACTATTATTAAATAAAAATTAAGAAAATATACAAATATTTATTAAATTTCCTTATTATAATTTATTATAATAATTTGAAATAATTGCGTGCAAAAAGTTTTCAATTCCCTTAAAAAATTGTCGAGATAGGGTGAAACACGCAAAAAGTAAAATTAACATCCGCAACGTAAGGGGTCCAAACTTTGGACTGCTATCCTGACCACACTACGGGGATCATATTTTGAGACTTAGAAATCTTAATATGTTGAATAAAGTTAAGCTTATTCAGAGAAAATGCGTTTTTGTGTTTGATTTCGCAACTTAAAATATCGATTGCACTAATTAATTAATTTACTCAATCTTAATAGTTCGAGGGTCATATCCTCGAACCATTAAGAAAGAGTTCTAAACTGTGAAGATCCTATCATTAGATAAAAAGTTATTCAGGGTAGTCTGTTTTCTTTGGCACAAGGTACATATTGCAATATTTTTTTCAAAAATAATCTTCAAAGATTCAACACGGATTAAAAATTCTTATAAAAAAAATCCGTACTCTATAGTAATGGAAAAAATCATAATTCTGGTTAACTGATCCAAATTATACTGTATTTAAGCCATTTATTTAGTAATTGTTCGGTTCATAAGGTAACGGTTTACCGGAAATTCTGGTCTTACTAGTTTAAGTTCTTATTATCACGCAATTAACTGAGTAAATGGTTTTTATGTTATGATCTGAGGCATTATGTTAAATTATCTATTTTTACCACATTTAAAATTTTTTTTACATATTATAAAACTATATTTTATTGTTAATTTTATCAAAATTATTAGCAAAGTAATTCAGTAAAAACTACCGACTTTTTTAGTGTTATAGAGCCAGAAATACGGTAAATTCAATCATATTCTGATAGCTTTGACTATGCTTCTTTTTTCAGTGCATTGCGCAGATAGTATTAGCTTGGTAAAGAAAATGGTCAAATTGTTTTTCTTAAAATCGAAATAGAAGCACTTATGTCGTTTTTTTTCAATTGCATGGCAGTACAGTGACCAAATAATTTTCTATTTTTATCTTATCACTTTATAATTTTCTACAAGTTACTACTACAACTAGTTACTATTTAATACAGTTATGTTATTATTTATGTCACTTGCATTTACCAGCAAGCCTGCTTATAAATTTTGAAGGCAGAGGGTGCGTTTCTAGATTTTTCAGTGGCGCCATCTTTGACCAAGAATAGGATTTTAGCCACATACTCGTCACAGTCCGTTTTACAGGGAGGACTCTATCATATTTCATTTATTCAGCCTCAGATCATTATTTTGACCTGAACCAGAAAACGATCTATCTCTAATTCAGTAACTTTAGAGGTTTTGTTACGGGAACCTGAAGGACTTTGTAACTCTGACGGTTTTAACGCACACCAGTTATCATTTAATACACTGGGATTCTTCGTCCGGTGGGATTCGAACTCGCTTTCTCATGAACACGAGCCCAACTTCCTACCAACCAAGATACTACTTTTATGCAAAAAAATATCAAGAAAACTGGAAAAAATGATTGATTATTTAACTTTTATAGAAATCAATTCTTACAAAAAATATTTTTTTTCGAACATTTTGAAACACTCACCCCATCCAATGAGAACATAAACATAAATTTTAATGTTATCCACAGTAAATGTTTTGACAACTAATATGAAGAGGTATAGGCCTTCGACAAACATCCAGAAGAAGTTGGTCCCCATAAGATATGTTAGAAAAATGGTCAAAAAGCAAGCAACCTAGGAAAAAGAAAATGAGAGTTGGAAACTTTTACAACACACTAAATTGTAATTTTCATAATGCCTTCAAATTACACATACAGGGGTGATTGTGAGCCCAATTCAAAAATCCTGAAAATTTCTCGAGTAAAATCATTAATGAAGCATTTCAAAAAATTAATTTCTTCAGAAACTTAAATCATTTTGATATTTTAAAAACATGAAATTTTAAATAAATTACATGCAGCATAATTTAAATGAATAATTACGTATAAGTTTACTTTTGTGTCTAATCACATTTATTATTCTAAAAGAAAAAATATTTACAAATGAAAAAGATTGAATTGTGCTATCCCTGTATCCACCCGATCAAAGTATGAATCAAAAAATATTTTCAGTGAACTTGAATAGGCTATAGAAGTTCACAATGTATAAATCAAAAAAGTAATTTCCGTTTTAGAGTGAAATTTTTATCCGAATATAGCTTCCATAAAATGAAATTGCTTTAAAGGAAATTAGTTTAAGATGTTTACCAGTTTCATGAAAGTGGTTAGGGAATAAATGCATTTTAAAGTTTGCCTGAATTATTAGAAGATTTAGAAATGAATAATTATGTTTCTCAGACAATGGGATAAGAAATATGACACCCTCTTGATATGCCCGCTGAAAAAAAGTAAAACCCTAGTTGTTCACAATAATTTGAATTTATTCTAATAAATTCGTTTATTAAGTCTTGATGTAATAATTTATTTTTCTTAATTTATAAACAATGAAAGATCTATTTCTATTCGTTGAAAATTAATTTTTAATAAAGTTCCATCAGACGGAATTCTTTTTCGATGACCACGCATTGAAAGTAATTATTAAGGCAGAATAATTTGTACTACAGCAATGCTAGAGAGGATTCTCAAATTGAGCGGAAACAAAAACTTATATTCTTCAATTACATTTCAAAAATAGAATTAATTTCCACTCTGTAAAATTAATTTTTAATGAGATACTTGATAATTTTAATGATAAAATTTATGTTTTGTCGATTTTGCAGTTTAAAAAGATATTGTAATAAAAGTTTTTTAGGGACTAAATTTTTTTACGAAATATTACAAGATTCTAAGTTTTTGTTTGTCGCAGATAAGGAAACCCCCAGTAGAGAAATGATACTTTCAGTGTCACGTATAAAGGAAATCTGTAATTTCCTGAGGGTGACATTTTTTAAAGTGAAATGGATATAAATCCGTGAATTGCTTAACATAATCGATCGCTGGCAATGTGAGTTCGGTGACACTGCGAACAAATATCTTAAGCGTTTTAATATTAAATAGTTCTCTAAGAAAATATTTATGTCGTTTTATTTTTTACACTGTTATAGACTTCGAAAAGAAAACTTTCGAAAAGATAAACTTTATAACTTACAGCAGCGTTATAGAACACAATACATGTTTAAAATAAATACATATAAAAGAACTTATTAACTTCCGAAGCTTTAAATCTTGAAATAATCAAATATGCATTAAGAAGCTTAAATGCATCAATATATATATA